ATGAGTTATACGGCGGCGGGTCCACCATAGATACCAACATTCCACCACTATCACTTGTTTCACTTCAAGTGAAGGCATTAGCGGTAAAGGGGTATTCTCAATAGAAAGAATGTATTCCATGATGACTGAGGGGTCGACATTGGTTGCACTATGAATGGAGCCAGTCAATCCTAGCTGGTTCCAAAACTCTTGTGACTGTATGCATTTAAAAAAGAGATGTCGAATATCTTTAGAATTCTGATGGCAGATTGGGCATGGTCCACTTAATCCAATATGCGTATTCACAAGTATACCTTTTAGAGGCAGATTTCCATGTAATAAGCACTTGCAAAATATAGAAACTTTATGTGGGATTAATAATTTCCATAAGAGTATTTCATATTTCCAGAGTAGTAGATCCTCCTGGAAGCGCGATGGTGTTTGCATATGCCCCAAACTTACGTAACCATTGAACTCTGTAGGCCGTCCTAACATAAATTTTACCCCTCCTATCAGGGTGCCATGCAATAAAATCATCAAAGGCATGAAGGCTTAGTGGGATTTGCATAATGCTACGTGCATCCACTGGATCAAATATCACATTAATTAGATCTTCATCCCATAGACCTGTGTTTGGATCAATAAGGTCTGCCATAACAGATAGCACTATTTGATCTCTATGGGTAATCACCATCCTATTCGGACTAGAAGGGATCCATGGGTCCGTCCAAATATTTATATCATTCCCATTGCCCACTCTCCAGATATAGCCCTTTTTTGAAAACATCAAGTCCTTTCATGATGCTCTGCCAAGTAAATAAAGATTCCTTTTTTAAAGAGACTTGCAAGAGACTTCCATGTGGGAAGTATTTGGCCTTTCGAGCTCAGGTACAAAGTGATTTAGGAGTTGTAATAAGTCTTCACCATTGCTTAGTTAGCATTGCAAGATTAAAAGAACATATGTCTCTAAACCCCATACCTCCTTCACTTTTTGGGTACCAAAATTTTCACCAAGAATACCAATGCATAATTGTTTCCTCATCATCTCCGCACCACAAATTGGCAATAATATATGCGATTTCCTTGCAAATACCTTTGGTTAAGATAATAAAACATAAAAAAATACAAGGATAGCCTATGCGACAACCTTTAACATAATCTCTTTACCCCCAACAGGTAATTGCTTTTCCATCCGACCTTGCATTCTCTGTTTAATCCTCTCAATACAATATTTGAAGCAATCACTACGTTCTGCTCCTACCATAGCCAGAAGGCCTAGGTATTTATCAGAAAGTGCTTCAGTATCAGTATGAAGTTGTTGGCTTACCTTAGATCTTGAGTTTGCATTGGTATTAGGACTGAAAAAACACATGACTTTGCCAAACTAACCAGCTGACCTGAGTTTTGACAACAGAAATCCAGAACTTGATGTAAGGAAGGTGCATCTGAAACATCAACGCTCATGAGTATCAAAGAATTGTCAGCAAATAAAAGGTGTGATACTGACGGTGCATTCTTGCATACTTTAATTCCCTCAATGCCACCAGCTTCTTCATATTGTAGCAAACTAGACAAACCTTCTGTAACGCCCCAGATGTAACATTCCATAATTGTAACTCCAATTCTTGACATTTCCGGCTATGTGATATGTTATATCCTCTGTGGTTGGGTTTTGTCCTCGTTTTGCATTTTTTGCATGTCATGCATTTCATTTCATGTCATCATGTGCATCTCATTTGCATTCGCGTTCGTCTCATGCATCCGGTCATTTTCTCCATTGTCCGTTTCGGAATCCGACACTCACACATGCACCTGTTGCACCTCTCAAATCTCGTTTCGTGAGCGGGAGAAAACGTTTTCAAAATGGGCCGAGATTTTTTGAGTGGCCTTGGTACATCACCGGTAGGCCGCCTGTCAAATTTCGTTCCATTTCGAGGTCGTTTGATGCCCCAACGGTTGACTGGGTAACCACAAAAACCCCTCTCTCATTGTAGCCCAACACCCCTCCAAAATAGTCCACTAGCCCATCTAAACCCCCTCCATGCTCTCTGTCGTTGGATCACGATCGTGTGGGCGAAAACCGCACCTCATTTGGACACTCCTAACTCCATCTACCTATAAAAAGGCCTCCCCTCCGAAATTCGGGCAAACCCTAGATCCTTCCCCTTCCTCCGCGCACCGGACATGTCCGCCCGGCGCCAAACGCGTCCGCCGCCGTCCCTCCGTGAATCAGGAACTGACATGTGGCGCTCCGCCGAGCCCCACCTCTGCCGGCCCTCCCGGCCCCCGTCCGCCGACGCCCGCTCGCCCGCCTCCCGCGTCCCCGCGCCGCCGCCTTCGTCGCCGTCCGCCGCCCTTCGCTACCCGTGCCGTCACGCGCCGCCGCCGGAGCACCGCCGCCACGCCCAAGCTCGCCGCCCGTCGGAGCCCGTCGCCTCCGCCGTCCAGATCCACCGTCATCCGGGCTCCGCAGCTCGCGCCCTCGCCGGATCCGCCTTCCCCATCAATCGCCGGCCAGCCCCCACGTCGGAGCCCCTCCATCGGACCTCGCCGGAGCTCGGCCCAATCCCCTGCGCCGCCATTGAATTTTCCCCTCGAGGTCGAAATTCCTTCTAAGTCCCCAGTTTTGCAATTTCATGTGCACATGTTTGTCATGCCATATCTCCGTGCCCATAGCTCCGATTTGCGCATATGATATATCGAAATGTTCGTCTCGTGATGCTCTTCATGCTGGTGTCATTTGCATGCATGTTACTGTCCATATTGACGCCTTAATCTTTGTTGCAAAAATGCTATATGATGTTGTCTGCTGGAATCCATCATAACTTGCTGATTTGTCATTTTCATAGAATTTTATGTGTGCATCCTTTGAGCATCATGTCTACATGTTTTAGGAGCACCTTCATGCCATCTTTACAGAGGTGCAAGCCTTGTATTTTTATGAGCTCTGTGGTGACTATCACAAGCATGCAAGTAGGCCACATGATGTTGCTGATTTCAGACACTTAGTTTTTCTATTGTCTTTTCCTGTTACATTATGTTGCTATGTTGTCTTGTTTCCTCAAGTAGATCCATGCATATTTTGATGTAGTTCAGTAAGGATGTTTTGAGGATATGGTTATGATCTATCCATTCATGCCTCTGGTTGTAATTATGGAGTAGTGTAGCTTGTGTAGGATCAAAAGTATTTCTAGAGGGGGGGGGGTGATTAGACTACTTGACCAATTAAAAATCTATCCTTTTCCCAATTTTAGTCTTTGGCAGATTTTAGCTATCTTAGCACAAGTCAAGCAATCTTAACACAATTCAAGCAAGCATGCAAAGAGTCTATGAGCAGCGGAAAGTAAAGCATGCAACTTGCAAGAATGTAAGGGGAAGGGTTTGGAGAATTCAAACGCAATTGGAGACACGGATGTTTTTGTCGTGGTTCCAATAGGTGGTGCTATCGT